TAATATACGTATATTTTGATATATATATATATCACAATTTTAATGAAAAACTTAACTAAATCTCTTTCATTCAATTCAGATGCGTAAGCTTTAGATTTCATCAAGCCAATGATCGTTTACATGTAATCTATTCTGAACTTTTCGAAAATAATACAGACTATGGAAGACAAAACAGATCCAATTTAGTGTGTCAACGAATAGCAGAAGCTGAGAATCGCAATGTACGAGTATACAATGGATTATAATGTAATTTTTTAAAACATATTACACACGTTCGCGCGCACGTATGTGATGAACAGTGTGCATCATTTTAACTTTCACATTGTAATATCCCAAAAAGTACAAAAAATTTTAAAAAAAGTTTTTTAGAGCAACAATTCGAGGGGACATTTTGGTTACGTTATTTTTTTCTAAACAGAGACGCAAGAAGATATGATAATAGTCTTTTTTAAATGGAATTGAACGACCTGAGCCGAATAAGGCCCATCGCTAAATAAGACCCACTTTTAAATTTAATACTCGAAAATTTGTTTTACGTTCGCAGTATAGATATGTTTAAAAGATTTGTCATAGGAAGTACATAAAAAGGGATTAAAGAATTGGAATCGATAGCAATACATTTGTTTAACACAACAAAAACTAGTATATATGAACCATGTTTATAACGATCCACTGCAAAATTTACCAGTATACAACGTTTTAATTTATTATACTTTATTATTTAACTTTCTAACTATGGAAAATAACAAATAAGTCAACTATTTGAAATAAATATAAATCTTTTTTGTAAACAATATTAGTACTTATTAAATAAGGTCCACTTATGTAATTATCATTATAGCTATTATTATTTGTTTGTTATGTTGTTATGGAGTTTATGCAAGTATAGGCTTATTTTGCGTTGTCATTTAGTAATAGGGGGAGAGAGGGTCTATTATTGAATGGAGGATCCTAGATGTTGCATATTATATCAAACGATATCGCATGCGATAACAGAAATTATATTCTTGAATGTGAGATGTATTGCATGCGAGAAAATATCGAACAACTGATGTCGAGTGATAACCCATGCGATATGCAAGTCACATACGGGAAATAAGTGATAAATGCAGTTCCCGACAGAAGTGAGGTTAATGTTAAATACATTTAATTTATATACCAATGTGGATACTGTTTCGTTCCATACCCATGGAGAACAAGAAAATCAAAATAATATCAATTTGACATCATATCGATGAATTTATGTCATTTTTTGATCATGATAAAAATCTCTATCTCAGATGATCTTAGAATGACTTTACATATAATTCTTAGGATATCATTTTTAGATTATCATTGAGCAATTAGAAAAGATGTAGATAAAATTTCTACTCTATTTATACTACGGATACATTATATTTCAAAAATTATTAAGATCTTATGTCTATGAAATCTTTTACATTATAAATTACATATATATTGTACATAAATGTTAAACTAATACATGTGAAAATTAATACATTTCATTGAAACCTTATTTTTCATATATAATTGTACCTTTATTTTTTTTTTAAATTTGTCTGAAATATAATATAAGAAAAATTAAGTCTTCGAAATAAATTAATTTTCACATTTGATTATAATGAATTTAATAAATTAATTTTAACATTTGTGCTAATTATTATTACAAATAATAATAATATACTATTAATATTAGTATCGTTATTATTTATTATAATTATTATGTATTTATTATTTATTTTTTCCATTTCATTTTTTTTTATTATGTTGATCATATTTATATTTTTTTATTCATATATTTATTTTATTTATTGGTACGTAATCTAAAACAATTCATTTTCTTTATATTTTTTAAAAATAATATGTTTATTTTATTTCATTTTATTTATTAATATGTAATCTAATTAAAAAATTAATTTTCTTTATACTTTTTTTTTAAATTATATGAAATAAATATATA